GCTTCATGCTACAGAAACCGGGATAAGCTCCGGCCGGATGGGCCACTTGGCTTGTATGCAGACTTTACTAAATCTATATAACTTATTAGCTAAGTTAGAGCGGTTTTCAATTGAGTGTCATAAAACCAAAACCAAACCAATTACTTACCAATTAGACTACTCAGCCAATCTCAAACCGTAGTAAAACCAAAACCAAAACCAAAGTAATTGTCTAATTACTTTCGACACTCAAATGAAAACCACTCTATTACCAGCTTGTCACTGATAACTTGTGTCAAGTTCACTGGCTTTTCAGTTATTTGCTTTCTCTACCTGAACAATAGTTGACAACAAACTCCTTGGTCTGTCAAGGCCCTTAGTTCCTTGCATTACTACACTATACACAATAGTTTACAATAGTCACTGTTCACCAGTAAAATTTTACTTGTGCTTTTAAACATGTATACAGAGCATTTATTACCATGGTCATTGCGTCACTTATCACAGGTGTGCAGCACAAAACAGCTTTACCTACCAAACACCAGAAAGATAAATTTAAAAATTCATTGAATGACTTGAATAATTAGAGTACTTATAAAGTAATCAGTCATAACAGCATGGATATGATCATAATAATTATCCCACAAGAAAAAGACAATTAGTGCTGTTATCCATAAGATGCAATTTAAAAAACTGAATTTGTTTCTTTGTTCATTAACCAATTAAAGAAAATACTGTGGGTATAAAACACCATCTTTTGCCTGTTTTTCAAAATGGGATACCAGTATGTTCAAACCTTAATAATGAAAATGAATGATATACTTTTACATTAACAGAAAAAGCAGTTTTCATGATAAAAGTTCTTTCTAGGACTATTTAAAAGAGCTGGGGTAAAGGCAACTCAGAAATGTCTACTTGTAAAAGCATACATCACATAGTTACACTGTACCTCCTTGTTCTTCAACGGCATTTACTACGTAATCTGCAAGCTCCCTGTGAAGATTGCAAATTAAATTTACCTGTGTTCTTGTTGTTGGGGACTGACCCAATTTCATCAAACTATTTGGAATATCCTCTGACCCTAAGCCTACATGTAATACAAATGCAACCTTATACAACAGTGTCTCCTGTGACCACATTCTGCACATCACAGGATAGTCCTGCTTGCTTGCTTTTCCAAAATTTCAAATAAACAAAATTTGCTGTACTTTATGTTACATCCTGCACTCTGTTACACTATTGTTGGTGGCAAGAGTATAGCCATGAAAATTCCTGAAAATCTATATGCCAAAGTGCCTGGGTGGAGTGGTCCTGTGAAAAGCAGAGTGTGTGCATGTGAACACTAACTAAAGGAGGAGTATGTTTTTGTACTTTATTAATATATGAATACACCTTTGTTAGGGGTGTAACGATTCATATTCCTTGCGATTCCATTCAATTTCAATTATTGCCTTTCGATTTCGATTATTTCAATTCCATTATGCAAAATATTATTTAATGTTTTTTAATTCTTACAACATGATACACAATGTAAACAACACACAACCCTAAACCTTCAATTCTAGGATACAATGAGCGTGTTGCACATGGTTCGCCTTATTTGGAAACTCTCAAGGGGTGTTAGAAGGGCAGCATTTTTACCACGCAACACAAAATGGCACACAAACTGCAAACGTCTTTACTCGTCAATCAAAAATGCACATTTTAAAGAGTTCTGGATTCTGATTTCACAATAAAATAACTCACTTAGGGCACTCTGAGAGAGGTATGCAAAAAATCAAACCAAACTTGAAACATGGAATCAAAGAATCGTGAATCGAACCAATCGGTCATAATCGTGATTAATCGAGAATTCGATTAATTGTTACACCACTAACCTTTGATCAACTTAGTGATGTTGTATAATTTATAGGTGCATTTTTTGGGGGAACAGTACATGTAGCTCTGAAGCAGCGACTTATAAGCCATTTGAGTAAAAAACAAACCCCAAACAAGTGGTGTCATCAGATCCAGCTCAGAACTTGCACATACAACAAAAAGGCCATAATTTTTTGCTTAATGAGAGACCATGGACGATTTCAAACAGTTCTGGAACTAGTCTGAGAAGACTAACTTCCCAGGGGCAGTTACTCTAGGTTCTAGTAAATTTGTGCAGACATTAATTCTTGTCATCCCAAATAACCGCCCTTGCATCTCCAAGAATGAGGTTAATATATTGAGTTCATCCAGCTACATTCATTCATAAGTCTTCACTTGTTTCCCTTTAGGACGTTCACACTAAATGTTTCTGCGCATCCTTACTACGCACGCAAATTCACACGCCATGTCATGCATTGAGCATGTGTGCTAAGTACTAAAATGAACAATGATAGTGCTGATGGTCATTGCTATAGCTTTGCTTGGATTTAACGATCTTGGATGTTCGGTGACCCCTACTTTTCCTTCCAGAAACAGATTTTATTTACAATGATCTCCACATTGTCCAAAAGTGAACAAAAAATCAATGTGGAAGTCAAAAAATTTCAAGATCTCTGTCCATGGGACATCAAATCCTGCCATCTTTCGGTTGCAAGGCGCATGAAACTATGGTCGCTAAATGCAAACTTGTTCTTTAAGGAACCTCACCAGTTGACTAAATTCACTTAATAGGTCCACTCAAACAATATTTGGCAGAGAACATTTCACTTCAAAAATCTAATTGAAATATTTTTGGGCTTATGGACACTGTGGCCTTATTTGCTAACGAAGCCTGATTTTTTCAGATTAGGATGTTCTTCCGGGCATGTTCTCTCCCAAACAAAGTTGATGACTCCCCGCTTTGTTTTACATTTGTGACATAACTAACTCATCATAATACAGTGATAAAAGTCTCAGGGTTTTTGAGGTTCTTGATCCTTAAAAAGGGTATCATTTTTGCCCCTGCTAGCATTGTGTCCCTGATGTGATCCTTAGATAGGGTACCTAAATTGTATCAGCTAAAATTGCAGTGCATAAATGCCCAGCTAAATGAAAAACAAATGATCTGTTAGAACTCAACTATTAATATACTTCCAATGTTAGAGAAGCGAAATAAAGTTGAACTGTCCATGCTTTTCTTAGTTTTTGTTTTTCCCCTCAATAGGGTGTCATTTTTCGGGTTTGGGCCTTAAATAGCGTGTCATTTTTCATGTCCCTCACCCTTAAAGTGACTTACTACTGTTTTGAAGGATTATAACAGCCCAACTTCTAACTCTTTTCAAAAATGTTCCAAGATATTTCTTTTTCTCCCTTTACTATTTGCTGAAGTCTTTTACCATTCTATGTGAAACTTGAACAATTAAACGTCAACAAATGGCCAAAATGAATGACTGAGTACCTAAGGAGACTGGGTACTAGTAGATTAAATCACGTTTTTCTCAAAATCTACCCATATGACCCCAATTCAAAATTTCAGGAATAAGAAAATGGCTCTGATTTAACATTCATGCAAAGTAAAATAAAAATCTGTAAGACAGATTTTCTGCAAAGTAAGAAAATGTGAGATCAAAAATAGTGTGAAAATTTCATCATGGGTTGTACGGTAGGTTTTCGAGCAATCCTCGATCAAAGACTAGCTTTTACAACCTTGGACAAGAATTGAATTGCGCATGCCCTTTATTTAAGCACGCGCTCATGTGACGCCATGTATCGTGTGAGAGACAGCAGGAGTAAATTAGTGCTCTTTTACCAGTTATTTATAGAGCTTTTTTATCATATTTCTTTGGCCCTGGGCTTAAACATGTTTGAATGGAGTTTGAAACTATTGCTACATATACCAAAGTAATTTAATGCCTTTCAAGTGCTGAAGTGGTTTTCGTTTTTTCTTTGGGTTACTTGCACCATTTTTTGCACGCGCCATTTATATTGATGTCTGACAGGCAATGATAGTGCGCGCTACTAAGTCTCAGAAAAACTGTAGTAAGCCACCTTAAAATTTAAAATTTAATGGGGTCAGAGACCCTTCCCAGCACATACCTATCTGAAATTTATGACAGTGACAGGAATATACCCCCTGGTGCCTGTGATTTTTGTATCCATATTAATAAACAGAAAAAAAACAATACCACATGTATAACTTCCAAACTTTACCAAAGACGTTCTTGACTGGTCAATGTTTTCTGAACATTGCTGAAGATTCCCACAGATGTTCTGATGAATTTTGAAGGTTACCAAATGCAGTGATGTGAAGCCCCAAACCTTGGTGCTGTCTTCTTTTAGCTTGTTATTTACGACTCAGACATGACATTTAGTACCATTCACTATGGACTAATTTGAGTGGAAAGAAATCTAATTTAATTTTTCACATTTATTTAATGGTTAATTGAATAAGTAATCCAGAATTGTGAGTCACGCATAATGTGTGTGAGATGACAGGAAAAGTATATATGACATTACTTGTACATTTTACCTGAAGTGGAAGTTGCATGGTATTACATTGATGTAAGGACATGCTACTGTAATCAGTGGTTTGACAAAATCTTCATCCTATTAAACATAACAATAAAATCTGTTAATCATTAGTTTATACTTATCCTTAAATGTAGCACGTTCACAAAATCAAAGGAGAACTATAATGAAGAAGTCGTGGATACATTGTTTACAATTATTGCTGTGGCTCTGCTGAAGTAGTAGGAGACTTGCTAGAATTGTCAGCCATTTTTTGTCTTTTAGCGTTGTTTTAATTTGTGCTTTTTAATTTTAGCTACAGATTTCTTCTTACATATACATATATTGTCTTGTGTGACAGAAACACACCATTATTTAATGAATATACATGAAATCAAAAATTGCATTTGGCATGTTGCAGTAGGCAAAAAAAAGATTTGTCATCATCAACTAAATTTCCAGAGAATTTATCTGGGAGTGAATAGTTTTGGTTGCAGTTGTATATGACAAAACACTTTATTACTTATTTTTGCTTATCAATTTCAGCGGCAGCTTTCGATCAAGTGTTTACCTTGGGTGCGAGTGCTAAACAAAGAAAAACAGAGCAATAACATCTTCTGTCAAAAGATGGGTCAGCTTGGTGCTAGAGTGAAGAGCTTTGGCTGTTTATATTTCTTGGGAAAAAGTGGTACTCGGGCGAAACCCTGGGGCAAACTGAACATGGTCATAAGAAAAGTGAAAATAAGCACAATATAATTATTTATGACTTGTTTATTACAATTTATTGAATAACAATGAACAACAAATTCATCATCAAAAACATCTTAGTGTTAGCAGATCTTTTTTTGATAGATAAAAATCAATGTTGAACCTTTCGCACAAGTGATTCCAACTGGTCTACTTCAAAGTTCCAGAACGATACATTAATCAAACGATTAAAAAAGTTTGAAATTTTGAAAAAAGAAAAACACTACAATGTATGTACCACATGAGATCTTGCAAACCTCTTAATTGCTTTACTCTTGTTAAATAAGTTAAGAATTTCTTCCACTGTAAGCTTGATGGTTCTCCATCACGCCAGATGCCTTTGCTAGTTCAAGTATAGGACTTTGATCTCCTTCGTTTCTGTAATTTTGGTTTGGTTGGATGTTATGGACTGATAAGTTGTGCTACTGATGTTTCCAATTACTTTGTTCATGTCTGATTCATATCTTAGTCTTTCAAAGAGCTTCTAGCATTGACTCCCTTACACTTGTGCTGACTGCAACAAGTATCAACAACAGAGTGCAATGTCAAAGTGGAAAATGCACTTTTCAACTGGAAACTGAGAATGTTTTGTCGCTCTGAGAACTGTTCCCAGCCTTGGCCAATAAGGGA